CCCCAAAACAAGGACAGCTGAACCCAAGTCGATCTCTGCCATAGCCCATGCATTTAATCTTTGCACTGTCTAACTTCAAAAGACACTGTTAAATGGCCCATGCTCTCTGCAGACTCCCTTTGTGAATAAGAGAAGGTCAGCTAAGAGCTGACCAGGGTAACTGATAACTGCCCACTCAGATATCTGATATAAGAGTGAATGAAGAGGGGAGTCCACTTGTCAGCAGTAAAAACACAGAACTAAATACCCTCGAGCTTTTTAATTGAAACAGTTCTAATAAGGAGGAAATGCTGTCCCCTTCTATTGTTACTATGGACGGCAAACTCAAATACAAAGAGGTGTCATGGAATATTGCGTAAGAGCCAGGGTTCCATCTTTGGCCTGTAATACTTACAAAGTGTGTGAAACTAGGCAAGTTACTTAACCTCTCTGCTGTTTAGTTCCCGCATCTGAAGAAAGGTAGATGTAAAGAACTGTTACAGCCATTCCACGTACACAGATTGTCCCTGATTGTTGTGAGAATTAAAATAATACCTGACATGGAGTAAGCACCACTATTGTGTTAACGATGATCATAACTATTATAATAATAATTGCTCATCTATTCCAGTTCCCCCCGAAGTATCAATACTTTAGTTCTGTTCAACACTTCAGCTGTTCTTTTTAGAATCCTCTACCATGAGCACTTGCTTGTGATTAATCCCCCCCCAATAATCCTTTCTCACATAAAATCCTTAGGATAAAGTGACGAGCCAAACAGATGCCTCCCTGCCCTCGTAATATTTTCAGCTCCTCAGACAATGTAGGAATTGACATAAACAAATACTTGGGAGTATTACGAATGTTCTGAGAGGGGAAGTATAGCTGTGGTGGAGAGTGCAGTCGGGGTGCTGGGGGTCAGGAAAGGCTCCCCGAGGAGGTGGTATTTAAGTTGAAACCTGGAGCATGAGGAAACTAAGTGAGGAGAAGTGATTCAAACAGAACAAGAGGCACGTGTGCAAAGCCGGAAGGAAGAGAGGATGCCAGCCAAGCCTCCACGATGGCCAGAGTGCAGACTGTGAGACGGACCGTGGAGAGAGAGGGCAAAAGGTGAAAACTACAGACCTTGTCTGTCATTTTAGGAAGGAGGGATTATATTGCGAGGATCATGAAAAGTCACTGAAGAGTGTGAAGCAAGGGAATGACAATCTATTTGCTATCAATAGATAGCTGGAATTTAGCCTACCTATACTTACTGTCACAGACACACGAAGAACGGAAAGGAATAAGTATTTACTTATGGGTCTTAAAAAAAAAAAAAGGTTAATGGGGGATTAAACTGAACTGAGCACAGAAGATCCCAGCATTTTGTTTCATCATCTCTCTCGCCTAAAACAAAGGCACTCCAGCATAAATGCTTTTTCCATTTCTCATGCCCTTTTCAAAATTGCTCCTCTATCTCCATTTTCAGAACCGCTTCAGGTTTTCTCTTTGTCCCTCTTTCATTTGACTGCTCTTTTTCAAGACGAACTTGGAGACGCGTGGCCCAATCCACCCCCCATGGAAGTGCTTGCTGACGAGTTCGGGGAGTGGGGTCAGAGGGCAGCTTTCAGATGGAGGCTTATTCAGGGGCTGCCCCAGCTTCAGAGACTCTCTTCTTTCCAGCTCTTGTCTTCCCCAGGGAAGTTCATATCTGGTGTTTGAGAGACATGGCGGGCACAAATGCCCTGCCCCAGTCATTTCAGCCCAAGGTGGGACAACTCTGTTCATATACACCCTAAAGATCCAACCCGGTGGGGTTCGTTGAAGCTTTGTTAGACCTGCACGAATCAGAGTTCTCCCTTTGCCCAATCCTGCTTCCTCACCTTTCCCTTCATGGTTTCAACCTTAATAAACCTCTTACACTAGACATGAAGTCGAGAGAGCCCAGTCTGCAAGACTCTGCAAGTCTACGTTTCTCTTAGGGAGACAGCTCTGTCAGTTCACATGGAAATAAATCCAGCTTCCAAACTGAATTTCCTTCATTTTTCTCTGCACATTTCTCTGATATATATATATATATCAGAGAATATATATATTATATATATATATATAAAAGGAAATCCAAGTCTCGTAACTTGAGCGACAGAAAACACCTCTCTCATAAGTTCATAGAATTGTGTGTGCAGGGCACTTAGAAAGGTGCAGTGAGCCTGTGAATTTTCATATGTTAATTTTTTGGTTCATGCCACGCTTAGAATCTCTGAACTGTTTCTCCCATGAAGTCGTTTTCAGTCACTGAGGTTTCTGGAGCTGGAAGAAAGGTAACAAATCCAACATCCTGTGCAGCAAAAAGACTGCCTATTGTCTGTCTGTGGAGGCAAATCTATTCTTGCCCTCATGATCCTTGGGTATTTGTGATGCACTGTCATAGACCTGAGAGATAAAAATGGAAAGAGCTGAGAGAGGAAAAGGAAGGACACTGAGAGGTCAATCCACATAACCAAGAACGGGAGCGGGTGGGGCCAGCATGCTTACTGTCTGGTGAGCTTGCCTTGCCGGGTGGTGGGCGATGTCAGTGGTGAATGAAAGGAACAGAGTTAGTCTGAGTATGACGGAGTCTGGAAGAAGGAATGGCATATTTGAGAAATATCACTGGAGTTAAGATGTGAATCTCCTTTGATGTATGTTGAGACACAGGAAAAAGATTGTGGTTTCCTTTTATATTGCTTTTTATGTGTTTGGACTAGAGCAGGCTACCTGCATCAGGATTACCTGGACAGCATTAAACCTGATTCCGTGGCCTCACCTCCCAGATTAATGGATCATATTTGGAGCTAGAGCTCCAATATCTTTACTTTTAATAAACTTTCTTGGTATTTCTAGGGAACGTGATCTACACACCACATTATCTGAAGCACTGACCTAGTCCATAAATCACTCTTCAAATAGAAGGAGTTGTCCCCTGAGGATCCACACACAAACCATCCAGGGGATCTACAGGCATGCATGATTTTATAGAACTACATACCCAGCTCCTCAACTTCCAAAAGAAGGCCTTTCATAAAGGTGATATTCCTGAAAATCAGTTCTCCATATCTATGTCTGCTTTCACAGTTGCCTTTTTCCCCACTTTGTAAAGGATTAGCATTTCCCCTGTCTGATGAATCTTGCCAGGACGCATTGTTCTTAGGTATAAATCATACAAGCACTGAACAGAGGGACAGTTCTGGAGTGCATAATTGCTACGAAGAGACCCAAGAGAACAAACAAAACATCAGAAATCCATGAGAAATACTGAAGCATTAGTGCTGCACAGAATTACGGCAGGATTCTGACTTTCAAAGGCTCCTGATGTGAGCTCTCTCTGTCTCTCCGTCTGACTGTCTACCTATTTTCCATCCACCCACCCACCCATAACTCTGTCTCTTTTTCTCAAATTCACATGAGAAAAACTAGGTATAGTATGTGACATGTTAATCTGACTTAAAAATTCTCTACTCTTGTTTTATATGACAAGTATCTCCATAAAGTGAATAAGTAAAATATGCAGATACAAAATTTTCATTAAAGGATGTATTAAAAGCCAATACACTATAAGCAAATAATCAGAAAACCTATTTTGGAACTATCAAACGTGTGTGAAAAATCTTAGGTGACAACTTATAACATGTTAAGAGTTAAATAATTTAAAAAATATTTTAATGAATCCATGAAGATACATATGTGCGTATGGTTCTACTCACATACATATCAATCCCCAAAATTTTCCTCCATCACAAGCAAGTCTAAGTTAAGCAGTCCAGACTAGCAAAAGGCTCTATTTTACTTAAACATCTGCAGACATTGGTTTCTTGAAATCAGCTTTCCTCCAGCATCCCCTATGACTTTGTCCTCATCTGCCCAGTCTAGCTGGGTCCTTGCTACATTCAGATAAAGAAGGGACAACTACTATCTAAAGGCACTGGCCCTATCGTATCAGCCCATAATCTATCCACAAACACTTGGCCACTTAACTTCAAGAACAGCTGGGAAATGTAATTTCTACCTAAGTGACTACATCCTAGACACAAATTTAAGTCAATAGAAGAAAGAACAGATTTCAGGGGATATCTTGAATCATGCCACAAAAAGTGAATTTACTAAGAAATTTTTATGGAATAATCCTCACTCTACCCAGGGTGTATTTTAATACGTTACTGAATTCTGTTTATTAGTGCTTTGTTTTTCTATTTCTCAATATGTTAGTTGATGTTGCCATGTAATTTTTCTTTCCTATGATGATTATCTAGTTTGTATATAAAGACTATGATAACTTCATGAATGAACTAAAATATTCCTTCTTTTTATATTAACAAATAAATTTTTAATTTTTAAAAGATGAACATGCTCTGTTCCTAGATTTGGTAAAACTCACCCATAAAGCCTCTGGACATAGATGGATTTTTACAATGCTCCTGAATTTTTATTTTATCTTTAAAAATTTTTTTATTGAACTGCAGTTGATTTACAATGTTAGTTCCAGGTGTACGGCAAAGCAATTCAGTTACACATACACATTTTTTTTCAGATTCTTTTCCATTATATGTCATTACAAGAAATTGAATATAGTTCCCTGTGTTATATAGTAGGTCTTTGTCATTTACCTGTGTTATATATAGTAATATGTATCTGTTAATGCCAAACTCCTAACTCATCCCCCCTAAATGTTTCCCCTTTGGTGATCGTTGTTTGTTTTCTATGTCTGTGAGTCTATTTTTGGTTTGTAAATAAGATTTGTATCCTTCTTTCAGGGTCTACACTTAAGTGGTATCACATGATATTTGTCTTTCTCTGACTTACTTCACTTAATATGATAATCTCTAGGTCCATTTGTGTTGCTGCAAATGGCATTAGTCCATTCTTTTTTATGGCCGAGTAATATTCCATTGTACGTATATGTGTGTGCATGTATGTACATATGTGTGTGTGTGTGTGTGTGTAAAATGTTCTTGAATTGATTTTAAACAAATTATTCTATTGCTTTAATTAAAATGGGTCTAGCTGAGGTCTATCAATGGGGCTTTTTCTGTAGACCCACATCATTGGAATCACCTCACAGAGTAGCTCTGCTTTCTTTTACTCACAGAACTACATGTTAGATCTGTGGGAAAGAACTATAAAACAGAACTGCTAAATAAACTATGAAAAACCTAATGGTCACACTTTTTTTTATCTTAAGTATTGGCATATTCCAATGATCAGTTACTGTTTTAGGGTGTGATATCTTAGAAGTAAATATAATTTGAACTTAATGCATGTTTAGAGGGTGTCTAACATTCAGAACCAGGCAGATCCATCCCCTCTGAGGCTTAATATAGTCCTAAAGTAAATTGCTTGAGGAAATTGGATCCCAAAGATTATAGATGAGGAGTTTTAGAAATATGTCCATGTTCTACTGAAGATCTAAGAAGCCCAACTAAAAGATCTGTGGACTGACTGACCTAACAACTGTGGACTGAGCAAAAATTCTTTTTGAAAGGGCTATCTTGAAGATTATGACTTAAACATTGGAGGAACTAAGGTGAAGGGCAGTGGAAAGAATCACAACATGTGAAATTCTTAAAAAATTTATGGACTTAAGTAATTCTGCCTATGTTACACAACTTTAAAAAGTCTTTATACTTTTTGTTAAAAAAAGTCTATTTTGGGTTTTCTATTTCTTCTGAAATAAGTTTTGGCATATTAGAACATTTTCTAGGAAATTAGGCATTTTGTTAATATTTTAAATACACTGGAGTAACATTAATTGTTGATCAGATTTGCTTGTGATTCTTAACATAGCTGTTTGAACAAAAGCCCTGAAGCTGGTCTACTCACAGAGCAAGCTGCTCTGAACCTTCACCTGCATGACTCAGTAAATGCAATGATGCCAGGAGTGTAGGTGGCAATTCTAGATGCCCTATAGAAACTCTGGCAAGTTCTAATAAGAAAAACACAGTACACACTGGTAGCTTTTGAAGCAAAGTCATGAGTTCTGCAAATTTCTATTCTCCTTTTTGCAAAGAAAGCTTTGATTTGCCAGGACTTTGATGGTGAGAACTTAACAACCGTGGAACGTCAAGTAACTCTGCAGCCTGAGCTGCCTATCAGAATCGATAAGCCACAAGGTGGAAGTCCACAGAGCACCGTATCATCTAACTGAAGTGCAGTATTTAAAATGCAGTTTGATCAGGTCTGCAGGGCATGAGGAAGTTGCATGGGCCTGTGGTTCAGACGTACTTCCTAACACGGCTCTCGTTTAATATCTGTCAACAAGAGACACTCATGAGACCTGGAGGACAGCAGAAAAGGGGGAGCCTCCTTCTGCAGCCTTGAGGGTCAGATACACAGTTTTCTAGGTATCCTCCAGTGACTCATTCTCCTGAGTGCTATTCAAAGTTGAATTTATCAGTGGCAGTTTCATTTGACTCCTGAAGCCTCACAGAAAAACTGTAATAAGAAATAGGTCAAAAATATTCTAAATAGTCTAGATGCTTCCAGGAGTTGATTATTTCCATTCTTACCACTGTTTTCATTAAGTGCAGCCGCAGGCATCAACAACAGCTCATTGATGGGGTTACAACTCTTTAGTATCATGGGTGCCAATTATTTTCTCAACCTGGGGTGGGTGCCGCAGTGTGGAGGTGGGCTTCCTGCCCATTCTTGAGCACGGCTATAACTTCTATTCTGGCAGAGTGGGATCTTAAGAGATCACTTTTACGTTTCAACATCCTTTTAGGGAGTTCCTGGTATGATTTGCAGCAACAGGATTCACTGACCACAGGCCATTCTATTTTGAATTAACATGCAGTGGCCACAAGCAAGAGTAGCAACAGTGTTCCAAGCAGGAGTGAATGGCTGCACGCATGCAGTGGTTGCAGCATGGGGCCTGAGGAGTACATGAGTTGCAAACCATGGGCTCGCAAGTAACACCTCACAAATAAACATTTGGAAACCAGTGCCCAAGACAGTATCTACTGATATCATACCCCAGAGTCTGAACTGGGGTGTAATGTAGATCTTAGTATGGGACAAGCAGGTTGGCCCCCTATGCAAGTAGAGTCACAAAAGAAAAGTTGGCAACAGAGAGAAAAGAAAAAGCAAATGCAGAAAGGGAAGTAGAGAAGACATGATAATGATCAGAGAGAGAGAGGCGGCCAAGTTGAAGATGGCTTTCCAGTTCCAATCCTCGCCATTATTCAGATTTGACAGCACTTCCTGGCCTCGAAGCCTGTATGCTAACACTTGAATTCTAATAAATGTCCCTTTTTTCCCTGGCTTAAGCTAATTTGAACAGGTATTTCACACTTGCCCCAAGTTATCCCACGCCTAAGACGCGTGTCAACTGAGAGAACATTTAAATCTCCTGAGGAAGAATGGAAGAAGCCTCTTCAAACTACTGCTAAGGTCTGGAATTCTAAAGCAACAGCATCCAACTAATTAGGATAGTGGAACGTCATCTACTCCAAGGCTTTCCTTGTACAGATAAGGAAACTCTCTGTATGGTCACATTTCTATGCAATTCAGTAACAATCTCAAAAAGGAGTATTATAGCTCTAGGTGAAAGGAAAGGACCCAAACCTTCACACAGAAGGGTATAAAATGCAAGTCACTGCTCAGTGCAGTAGTCTGGTTTTACTCTGATTCTGTTTGCAACTGATGATGATTTATATTTGGGACAGATTTTTCCTTAAATATGCTTGTGTTTCTCATATGCTGTCTCGGCAATTTAGCTATCTAATTACTTGCATGTATTCATTCCCAAGACAGGAGCCTTAGGATAAAATCCACCTTGGAAATCTCAAATCTGGTTGCCATGGTAACTGTATTCTCCAGCAACTCTGCACTCTTAGCTAACTTAGCTGAGTATCATGGATTTCTTTCTGATGCCAAAGCACTGTGATAGATCATTATGGAACTTTTATGTATATTGTAGCATAGTCTTCAATTTGCCTTCAAAAACTGTTTGATAGGCTACACCTACCAATGGGAGGATTTGGAGTTATTCTGCATTAAATAATTCCAAATTCTCCTATTGATTTGGAAAATGTTATGAATCTTAAACTTTGATTTTTTAATCATTTTATGCTGTAAAACTCCTCATTTTGGCCTCAGGAAGACAAATTCAACAGAGAATTTAAATTCTAAGAACATAGCCTTACTTCATAGGATAACACTTCTAATGTTTATAAAATGCCTGTAAGCTACCAGTGGGCAGAGAATATGTTCATATTCTTTGAATCATTTCTTGTAACTAGAACATTATCTTCATATTTACTGAAACTGGATATGTCATATCTCGAGGCAGTACGATGAAAACACACATGATAGCCCCTTACTTCCTAAGTATCTCTCCCCACTACTTGCTCTAGTGGCTTAAAACCCCTCGTGACCTGTACCCCTTGAAAGACACCAAGTTTCAAAGAACAAAAACACATAGCAAGCCTGAGTAAACACTTAAACTAATTCCAATCCAAAATCAGCATAATACAAATACTCTCCACTATTTTCTGAGCATTACACTGACAATGTTCTATCTACTACCCAAAGCATTTTACCTACATTGTTCCTTATGACCCTTCAGAGAAACTGCATTTTGTACGTGAGGACAATAAGGTGTAGAAAGGACGGAGTAACTTAACTGAGGATACATAACTATAAAGTGTTCAAATTTAGGTATGCTAAGTATCTTTCATTAATGAGGATATTTCTGGCTTTACGCAGCTAAAAATCCAGATTCATTCCCAAATCCCAGGGCTAGGACAAGGATGGAATTAGAAAAGCAGCCAGAACACCAGTTTAATAAGGGACGCAGCTCAAGTCCTCACTCTAGCTCCAGTCCCGCCCCATCCTTCCCACCCTGCTCTCCGGCCCTGGCGGCTGACTTGCATGGACCACATCAGAGTTCCTTTCCCCTCTCGCTTCCCAATGGATCGAGGTTTTACTACTGGATTTTAGCAGGAAATGAGAGAAAATAAGGAGAGAGATCTGTCTTTAAAGTAGTCTTAGTCTCTTTCCTTTATAAATTGCCCAAGTGTTTATCATCTCATACTACATAAAGGCCACAGAATAAAATGTGGTTTAAAGGGCTGGTAGGAATATGTGCTGAAAACCAACAATTGTATATAGATACTGAAGTCTCTTATGACATTCCTCAAAGAATTTTATACATATACTAATATAATATTGCCTCTAGTAATATTGTCTTTAGTCATTTATTCAACATTTATTCAGAAATTATTTCTGAGACTCTAAATGGCTTTCCATTATGCTTAACATAAAATCCCCAATCCTAAAGTGCCTTATCAGGTCCTCTACAATATGACTCCTGACTACAAATTGAGGCTTTTCTCTATGCCTTATGTTTAACTGTCTTTAGTCCACGCATTCTTCACACCTACAGATCTCCCAATACTCTCATGAATGCTAAGCTTTCTCTTGACGCTGGGTTTTACATACAATCCCAATCCCTAGACTCCTCTCCCTCAACATGCATTCTTGCTCAACAGTTTCCACTTACTTTAGAGAGATGTCATTTCCTCCAGGGAAGGTTGTTCCCAATTCTCTGATAATTGCTAAATCTACCTAGGGCTTGGGTTTTGTTTTTTTTTTAATGGTAGATATGGTTATATCTGCTCCACAGCCATCCGACCTCCCTCCTTCCCTTCTAACTGAGACAGCCATGTTCTGTTGTGGTTAGCTATCCTGAGCAATCTTATCTAACCACAGGAGTGTTATTCCCCTTTACCAGCTGCCAAACTGGTGAGACCTAAGGACAAAATTAGCTGGAAATGGCGAGAAAGATACCCTTCCTACTTTCCTGCTCTGGATGCAGTTACACTTGGGATTGTTAATTTAAAGCTGTGCTGCCTTCTTAAAACCGTGAGAGGACTATGACAGTCACATCGAGGGAGGTAGACAGAAATATCAAAGGAGACTGGGTCACTGATGACACTGAGCCAAAAGGTAACCTTGGCACTGCTTACCTCTGAGTTTCTTCTTACGTAAACAATAAATATCCTTAGGGATTAAGCCAGTGTTAGTTTGACTTCTCATTCTTTGCAGCTAAAAAAAGTCCTAAATGATCACCTTTCCAATATCAACCTGTGCTTTCTCTTACATAAGTCACTTTGTGCTTCTAACCCTTT